TTGAGATGGAGAGATAGTTTTAAACAAAAAATCTGATGGAAAAATATTTTTTTTCCTTTTAATATATGGTTGATTCTTTCCATCACAAGATTCTTGTGCCTCATCAAGCAATCTGAAAGTGACTTTAAAAAATAACAGTGTACAGTGCTTGTACCTAAAGTCTTATCAGTCCACAATTGATTAAGCTCAACACTTTAATCAGTTTCTCTTTCCTTTTAATTATTCTCAGGACCCCTTGATAATCTTGAGCTATGTTTGAAAACAGAGCAATTACAAACAGGAAAAAACTTAAACAGAAAAGCAAAAATTTTGTTTTCAATAACATAAAGAGAAATACACTAATCTTATGATAAAATACTTTAAAAGAACATAAAACTGTAACATGCTTGATCTTCCTGCCTGTGATATTTCCGTGTCTTTTGATTAAAACTGCCATTATAGCTTTCAGATGGAGACCAGAGACATAAATTGGATTTGTCATGTGGTTGTTTTATTGTGAACATTAGCTAAAAAGCAAATAGTAGTCACCTGCCTCAACACCTTACCCTATAGAATAGATCAACACTGCAGTAGATAAAAATGCTTCTATTTTGTGCAAAATAAGCTTTCTTTTAAGTCAAAATGCACTCTTTATTACTAATACAGGTGTAGGACTATTTCACAGAGGAAAATTACTCAGTCCCCCATTGCATTAATTAGCCAACATGCCACTAGGAAGAAGCAATTTCATGCCAAAAAAGTTAATCTAAGGAGGTGGGACAAGAAGTGGAAGAAAAAAAAATGGCCATTTTACAGTTTGGAAACCATGGCACCGACTGATGTGTTTTTTCCATAAGCATCCAGATTGCCCATATCCTTGTTAGATTTGATTTGAGACCTTCTCTCACGATGCTCAAGGCAACAGCTACAAAGGATGTTTCTTTGTCATCACTTGCATAAAGCCTGAGGGGATTTTAGGAAAGTGCATTGCACATAGGTTACAGGTGACCGGCGTAGAGCTGGGGCAAGCAGCAGCTTCTGAATTGCCTGTGTGGAGGCTTTGAGCTTTCTTGACAAACAAAATACCAGGCATTGCATGTGCTTTATGCAGAAAAGTATTATAGAACACCCATCTGAAATATATACCTTGAATTCAGCGTCACAGCATGCTTTTAAAATCACCAGAAGCATAAGAATCTGTTTGAAACTGATTTAATTTGCTTAAATTACCTTTCTTGTAGAACGCCTGCAGCCTCTTGCCTTAGTGAAGAAGCTTTATTATTATGTTGGATTGTGTTGACACCAGAAACTATTATGCCTTCCTTTGAAATTATTTCCAGAGAATGCTTAGATTGAAAAAGTGGACTGCAGTTTTCCAGTGCTTATGGGTGATAAATCTGCAAACAGGAAAAGAGCAAAAGCTGTTATTAGCAAACTAAGGCCAGCAGGGTAGGTAAACTGGTGCTTTCCCCAAGCAAGTTCCTCAGGCATGTCATGAATTAATTGTCTAAGGTAGAACAAAGCAGGTTTAATTATGAGTGCTTTTCTGAGCAGGGGTGTTGCAATTAGTTATTTTTGAGAGCTGTCTTTATGGGAGAATTTAAATACTATGTATATCAAGTTCCCAGCTGCTATTCACGGTGTTAATGTATTGTTCTCTGAGTCAGTTCTTACTATGTGGTTTGAAGATTAAACAGCACAGTTTTTCTCAGGTACGATCAAACATGCAGTAAAAGATGGTCTTTTGTACTAATCTTTATAAAGACATTTCCTGTTGCAGAGCTAAGATACACAGGTAATTAGGTTAGATACCCTATTTAATAACAGATAAGCAAATATATTTAATGATTAACAGTGAAAATGTTTAACTTGACAGTGGCAGTTTATGTAAGAGCAAAATTCAGCAAAAATTAAAAGTATGTGCATATTACCAACTTCACAGTCTCTTCTTATTTTCTTTTTTATTTTTTTTTTTTTGTGTGTATGTGTGTGTGTTGCTCAAAAAATGTTTTAGAAACAAGTCCCAAACCTAAACATAACCATTAATGGTGCTGGACACAATGTATGTATGGATATGTACCTACATACATTTCACAAGGGTTTTTTAGAAGCCAAAGACCCAAACAGTATGTCTGAGTTTGTTTCATCTGTAAAAAATGAAAATATTAAAGAATCACTACCTTGAATGACTGTTTGGGAATCTCTTATCTTTTATTGCACTCTTCATTTCCCAGCACCGATTGGCCTTTTTTTCTGCCTCCTTATTCCTGTTTCTACACGTTTGTGCTTCTCCACTCTCTGATCTTCCCGACTCTCCAGTTGGAACTTGTCACTTCTGTGAAGGTGCCTGCTGCGAAGTAGCTGCCTCCTTCAGTCTGTTGGGGTGGTCCCCTCCTCCCAGCTGAAGTTTATTTCAGTTCTCCTGCAGTTCCTGGAGCTGTCAGGTTTCCGTATGGTTTTCCACTTCTCATTCCAGGCAGCTGTTATAAGTTGTGTTGGGCTTTTTTGTGGGTTTTTTTTTTTTTTTTTTTTTTTTTTTTTTTGTGGCGGGGGGTAGGGTTGGTTTTGGTTTTTGCTTTTTTCCCCCTATGAAATAGCTTAATTTATAAACCACGGTCTTCCTTTTATAACTCTGTGAAAAAATAGCTACGCACGGTGATCTCTCCATGGACAAAGTAGAGGCTATAAATATTTTGGCTTTACAAAGTTTAATTGCTTTGTATATTATGCAGATTCCCAGGCTGAAAGATCTGACGAGAGCAAGTTACACATTTGTATATTCACTATCTAAAAAAAGCAGGTGGATTGCTGAAAAGCGTGCCAGTTTTTTGAGTCTGGAGGTTTACATCTTGTCGATGTTCTCACAGGGTGTGTAGGGTACTTGCATGACCGAGGTTCTTCACTGAATGCAAACATCGCATTTTGAAACTGTACATTTTGAAGAGCCTGTGAAAAAAAGGTGGAGCAGCTGCTGCTGCTGTCCTTCTACGTGCCAAGATCACAGGAAGCAGAGCTGGAGGAGACCTCAGGAGATCATCTAGTATATCTCTACCCTAAAGCAGGATCAGCTAGTTCTGAACATTTCCAAACAGTCATGGATTTTTGAGCTTGAGGCAAGAAATCAAGAAGTTCTCGTGTTTGATGTTTGAAAAGATTTTTCTTTTATTGGATAAAGTATAAAGGAGAGGTATAATCCAGCGTATTTTACTGAGACACCTAAAAATAATTTTTTTTAAAAAAGCATGTGCTTGCAGTATCAGTAAAAGGTCTGGGCCTGAAGTCAGTAGTCACGTGCTGTGTTAAGGGTATAAGGTAAACATTGAGAAGCCTCACAAAGTTGGGAACCATTTCAGTATAATACTTCAAGCAGTTTCTCTGCTCTGCTGGTATTTCTGGTGAGGTGAGAAGGACTAACCTGTGAACACCCTGTCAGAAGTGCAGGCTGCTACGTTTTAGCTATCTTGGAGAGAGAGATTTAGATATTAATAACTAAGAGTCTTCCAGTGTCCTAGTTCTAAGGATCACCATATTTAGAGAGATGGATTGCTTTGATCTGGCTATTTGCCTTGAAGTTTCTCTTCACTGGAGGCAAATCAGAGAAAAAGAAAGCAAACGTATTGATTTGCAAAATTCAAAGTAGACAACACAAATGCAGAATTTCAGGAAGAAAGGTGGAAAGAAAGGAAATTCAAGTTATTCATATATTCCTTAGAATAGTTAAAAATCTCTCTTACTTTTTAAGATCCAACTCACAGGCTGTTGAAATATTGAGAATCTTACATCTGAGTACCCATTTCTGCATGGATCCAACCTGCTTTGTATAAGTCCTGAAAGAGGATCTAGATTTGGGAACTCCGATGTTTTTGATTTGAGAAGAAAATTTGTGAACTTTGCTGTTTCTTTTTACATCACAAATTTCTTTTATGATTGTTCATGTGCATTCATTACATGATGGGAGCTGGTGGATGAGACACATTATTTACTCTTGAGCCCAGATGTGCTTTGAAGTATTGATGACTCTTTCTTTCCCTGCTGCCCTGCAGTTTCAGCAGAGTGACAGAAAAAGCCTCTGCTTCAGCAGAAGCAGCAGAGACTGCCTCTTGCCAGCGTGGTCTATAGGCAGATGAGGTGGGAGGTGTGGGATTGAATCCCTGTAAAACAAGGTGGGATCCTGGTCCTTAAAGCGCTGAACTGTTTGACAGCAGCTCCTGTCACCTCCATCCCTCCCTCTCTGGCAGCACTTTAAAAGAGCAAACTCTTCTTGGGTTTCTTTTCTTGGGAGAAGGTATCAGACTGAATCCTTAATGGGATTGAGGTGTCTTCTGCAGGGTGAATGGAGCACCTTCTGCTGAGTGTGGCCACGTTCGCCTCATAGGCAGTTTCTGAGTGGGCGTGCAAGCGTTGTTCCCTTGCTGCACACTCCTGACACTGGGGCCTCAGCGGTTGCAAGTTAAGCAGTGACACACAAGAGCATGGGATTGGGAGAACCTTAAATCATCAAGTTTACTCATGCCCAGTCATAAACTGTGTTTTATAATTAAGTCCAGAATGATCAACAAGAATATTCACTTCCTGCCATGTCCTTTTCATACCTGTAAGTCCCAAATCCCCGCTAACCTAATTACTTTCCTTGGCTCTATAACTAGATGAAGATTTTGAGAACAAAAAGATACGTTGAAGTTTCCTGGAAGGAGGAAGGAGAGATCCTCAGACTGATCCTCAGAGTGCTCTGCGTTCATAATATAGAAGGGAGTTTGTGTAGACCCAGCTCCACAACATTGTCTTTTTGGATCTAACTCTAATTTCTTGGGAATTTACAGCAGAATCTTATGTATATATAATATATAAATTGTACAAACTGATGCTTTCTTTTATCTCATTTAATTTTTAAAAATAGGTTACTTTTTCACATTTTAAAAGGATGTAATTTGTTAGAGATAGTTATTAATACAAACAGAGAAAACATAGGTTGTTATGTTTTTCTAATCTGTCAAAAAATAACAAACTTTTTTATTCACTAGGTGTTAAGAGTGTACAAAGCTGCAATACAACAGACATTGGATATCCTCTTTCTCCCTGAAGCAAGAGAATTTCTTACAAGCACAGATGCAGTAAGCCGGGACTCAGCTGATCGTACCATTATTGCATGGGACTTCCAAAGTGCTGCAAAAATCTCCAATCAGATTTTTCATGTAAGATTAACAGCTAGAATTGTTTGGGTCGTGATTTAGTATTTCATGCGTGTCAGTGTTGTAAAAAAAAGCTTTTGATTTTCTGTAAGATCATTGTGTGATGTATAAAATGCTCTTAATGTAAGTTGAGGGCTTTATGTATTTTTGTATTTTAAAAACACTTATTCTTAAAAATGACCTTGAAGACTGATAGGTCTCCTTGTGTTAAAGGTGTTTACATTTCAGTGCTCATTCACTGACATCTAAGCTATATTTAGGCAAGGCCACTGCAGTGTCATTATATCTTACTGATGGTACATGGCAGTAGCTGCTATAGTGCCACGTTTCTTTACATTTTTCATCAGCTGGAATGAGGGCTATTGACAAATTGAGTTTAATATTTTCATAGTAATAGCGACCTGATACATGTACGTAGTTATCTAGTACGGCATAATCACAGGGGCAAAATTTACTTCTATCAGTGCAGGTGCAGTATTTCTCTCAGTAATCTATCCAGGCAAGATATTTAATTGACTAAATTGTCTAGAAAGGCGGACAGCTTCAGGGGACATTACCAAGGAAGTTAATAGATAATTCCAGCTCCATGGGTCATTTTTGAAAACCCAAGTCTAATATCCTATGTTATATGGTATGATTGAATTGTATACAGATGCTTTTTGGCTGAAATGAACAGTTCTCTACTGACAAGGGCATGTCATTGATGATCTAATGGAATTGTTTAATTTTCACAGTTATGTCTTTGTCCAATATTAGATCTATCAGCATCTTGGATAGGCAGTAGGAGGAAAAAAACAAAGCTGTGGATATATAAAGCACAGACCAGTCAGTATCAAGGAGTAAAAACCAAACAACTTTTTTTCTCCTTATCCCCCACCAAACAAACAAACAAAAAATGCACACAGCCTACCTCCTAGGGACTACTGCATCTCTGAAATGGGCAGTTTTCCACCTCTTCTGCACTGTGAGTAAAGAAAACTTGGTGGTGATTTTGGAAACTCTTCACTTTTTCAAGTGAAAAAAACTTTCACTTTTGAAACTTTTGAAACTTTTCAAAAGTTTTCACTTTTGAAACTTTTTCAAAAGTTTCACCTTTGAACCTTCAAGGTAGGAGAGAACCCCTGAACTCTCCAAATAGGTTAGGTCCCAAGAGGACTTGATCTATTGCTTGTAACAAATGTTAAGAGCTCTAAAATTACCCATTACCCATTAGTACAATATACCCAGCATAACAGCACAGTGCTCCTGCAGATTGCGTTGTGCTTTCAGATCCCTTACTTTTAGTTCCAGTTTCTCCCCAGAAGCAAGCAGTGCTCTGCCACAGAGCACACTCCTAACCAGGCACAGTACCTAACCCTGTTTTGGTTGCTGTGCTTAGCACCTTACAATACCTAGAACTTCTTTCCCAGTTCATCACTTCCAAACCACATAACAAAACCAGTCTGATGCTCTTTTGCCACACAGCCCGTGTTGTCCAGTTATCACTGTCAGGCTGGTGTCCTTCACATGTAGATACATCCCGCAGACAAAGCTCTCTTAATTTGTATTCATGGCATCAAAATTCATCACTCTCTCTTTAGTGATTTAGTGATTAGGCTGAAGCTAGAAGAGGTTTGGACTTGGGAGAAACCTTGCGGGAGCAGTTGGTTTCTGATGCAATCACTGTGCAGAGTTTTGAAAGTAATCTTAATTCAGTCTTAAGTAGGAATGCTAGAGTAAAGCCAAGTCTTATTAATTCTTGCAGATATTTATGAATTTACAGCCAGCAGCAATCAACATGACAAATCACTGTCATAAGGAACTTCTGACTTAGTAGGCTAATAATGACCCCCCCACCTGGGGGGGTCTTCTTTTTTTTATGAGAGTGGGGGGGGGGAGGTGTCTCTTTAAATTGTGTGGTTTCTATTCCTGTCAGTGTGGCCAGAACTGAGAGGATGAAGAGTTCCAGAACTGTACAAAGTAGCATGTAAGGCACAGTATGGCTGTGGAGGAAGGGAAGATAATTCACTTTCACATTCAAACTTCACTTTTCCTTGGGCAGGAAGAGGATGATTGAGTACCATCACATTGGAGTTACCTTTCTGCAGCTGTTTCGCAGTATTGTTATGGTTCAGAGGGAGATGGGATTTTGGTCAGTATCTAGGAAATCGAGGTAGAGATTTGTTTTGATATTTGTCTTGGTGTAAGACTTTCAGTGGATTGTAATGACTTAAGTATCTTTACGTAATCTATACTATGGAGATGACTTGGACCTTGCCTTTTATGGTCTTTCAAATATGTCAAAACATAACCTGATTAATTTGAACAAATATTTTGTTTCATACAGCAAAACTTTCTTTAATTATTTTCAGGAGCGTTACACTTGCCCAAGTCTGACTCTGCACCCAGAAGAGTCGGTGTTTGTAGCTCAAACGAATGGGAACTACATGGCTTTGTTTTCTGCCCAGCGACCTTACCGAATCAACAAAAAGAAAAGATATGAAGGACATAAGGTATCCTTCTTCACTGGGAACCTAGCATCCAAGATAGATAGCAAAGTACCTGTGCTTTTTAATATGTCTGCTATTAGTGTTTGATTATAAATCAGGGATAGATATTAATTGGCTTCATTTGCTTTCCCATGTGCCAGTCTATTTTGAATCATAGGCACTCTGAAGATAACAGTTATTAGAAGTCTTTATGAATACTTAATAGCTTGATTAAATAAGTTTGTGTTATAGCTGTGTCTTCATAAACACCTGGAGAAGTCCTTAGTGTATATTTACTTAAAGATAGAACTTTTTTTTTTGTTACTATATTTATTTTCACTTTATCACAATGAACTTTTCTAATCAGCATCAGGAGTTACACTGTTATTGATTTTCACAGGTGGAAGGATTTGCAGTGGGCTGTGAATTTTCTCCAGATGGAACACTTTTGGTGACAGGAAGTTCAGATGGCAAAGTGTTTTTCTACAACTATCATACTGCTAGGATTATTCGCACTTTGTCTGCACATAAAGAAGCTTGTGTGAGTGCAATATTTCACCCAGTCTTGCCATCGCTCCTTGCAACATGTGACTGGGCTGGAGAAATCAAGATCTGGCAATAACAAGCAGAGTTACTTTTCAGGATGTCTCTTGTTAGTCTGTCAAAGGCGTGGGAGATGAACCATGATATGCAATGTGAAATTTTGTTGTGATGTGTTGTAATCAGGAGAGGCTATTGTCTTTTCTTCTGTGACCTCTAAGCGTATGCTTTCATAATGCAGTTAAGATGGTCTCGTGGTTAGCTGCTGAGCAAAGAAGTGGTCTTACTCTCTCCCTTGGCTCTGGTGACATATTTCTGCCTTTTTTGTGTCAATCTTCTGGTGCTCGTCTAGCCCCACCCTGGTGTGAGTAACTAAACTTGAAGAAAATTATTGCTCTTTTTACATAGCTTTTTAACTTGAGCTTTCTTAAACCAGGTTTTCACTAGTTTAGCTCCCTGACCTGGTCACTGAAGCGTTAGACAAACAATAGTGTAGTTCAAGGCAGAGCAGCTTCTACGCGCAATAGGGGGGAATATCGCAGGGCAGATGGGACTGCTTCTTTTGGAAATGGGTAGCTGTTACCAGCTCAGCTTATTGTAAAATGCCTTCTGAGAGTTCAGGCAAAGGTGTGCCAGATAACTTGAAGCTTATTTTGAAGTCACTAAATTTGTGTTCTTGAAATCCCAGTGTTTAAACTTGAGTTTTAAACTTACATTTATGACTGTACATAAACAAAGCAAAACTATGTGTAAATATTTTTAATGAAAAAAATAAACATTTTTTTAATACATGGTGTCTGTATTTCACTGGTTTACTTCTGCTATTCTTGACAAGTTAGTAGTCAAGACTATCATGCAGTTGAGAGCTGGAGGGGGAAACCATTTGTACACTACCCTAATTTATTGTGAACACAGGTGCATTTCTCCATATTTCTTGATGTCACTTAGACACAGAAAATTGTCATCATGCTGTTCAGTGCAGGAAATGTTGTTTGATATTCAGACAGGAGATGGGCTATTCTGCAGTGAATAGAAAATTCATTAGCCATAACTGTGTATAGCTGTACATAAAGTATGTATAGATTGCTTGTAAATGTGTTTTTAATTTGCATTCCCTGCACTTGTGTTGCTTGGTTCTAGAAATTATTGTAAGATCCATTTTATACATGTGTGTGTATACATATATGTATAATTGAAAAAAAAAATCTCTGCATGACATAAACCATAGATATTCCCAACCTTAACTCCATATAAATATGTGCTACCTTGCAGTGAGTGCTATCAGCTTGGCTTGTGTTTGGTCCATAAAGGTATTTTAACACACACAGGATAATTGTGTTAAGTAAATTGTCTCTGTCAAGGAGTTTGGAAGTCATGTATAATAGCAACATTTCCTCTGTAGCATATTTTTATTCTTCTGATTTTTTCTTATTGGCACAAATACAAGGGTTTTTTAGCCATTTTCCACATACTCAGTTAAAACAGCTTTTTCAGAGAAAAATTTTCAGAACACTCTTTTAAATGGCAGATTTTAACTAAGTAATGAGCAAAATGTCCTCCGTTGGTTTGTAGTTTGTGTTCCTTACAGCTTGTAGTAAGAAATAAGCCCGTACCAAGACTGTGGAGTCACAGTTATAATGTTTGTCGTCTGGATCAAAATATTGTCGTTGTGTGGTTTTAATCATATTATCAAGTTAGTTATGACAGGTTTGAACACAGGGCATTAAATTTTAGTGAACAATGCAGAGTAGAGCAAGTAACTTCCCCCCCCCTCCGCCCCGGCCCCGACTGTTCTTAATTTCTTGTTTCCTTTTATTGGCAATTAGATGTTCAACAGGAGCCTGAATTTTGCACTTCTCTTGATGGTCTCTCTAGCATACAAGCCGGCTGGATCCTTTAAAGGACAACTTGTTCAGTGATCTGACTCCTAATTCAAGCTGTGGGATCTTCATAAATGTCAGAAGGAGTTCAGCTGGAAGTGAAGTAGCAGTTGCCTGTCACTGGGCAGGCTGAATCACAGCTGCACGGCATTTTCGGAGAGGGTGGTTCTGTGTCCTTCCCTCCAGGTATTTTAGGTCAAAGTGTGCTTTTGTCACTTTAAAACCTCTGGCAACCAGTTATGTCTATATGAAGGATGAGCAGCACCGTAGCTGTGCAATGCATCCTGTTATCTCCACAAGATATTATCTGTTGTTTTATTAAATACAGCATTGAGAAAGGCCTCTGAAATAAGGGTGAGCTCATGGTAGAAATGCCGCATTGGACGAGGCCCCAGCGTGTGTGAAGACTGCTCTATATCTGAATGAGCTCTCAACACATTCAGCTTCTGCTGAGAGCACCTTTAGATAGAGAAAAAGATCCGTGAGAGCAGTCTTTGGGTATCATTGCACATATTTTATAGAAAACTAACTGCATTTTGTAGTATTACCTATATTCTTAAGTTTTGCTTATGTCCTGAGGCATGATTCTGGTGTCTGGCATTTATCCCTCCCGAAATTATCTTGCAAGTATAAATTTTCATATCAGACTGTTTATAGGGGGGAGAGAGAAAAGCTTAAATTTGATTAAAGTAATAGAGAAAAATAAAATAAACTTGATACTGTGTAATCTTAAAGAATATTAAAATTGCAATTGCATTTGTGTCAGATTTCCAAGATGGCTGGAGTTTTAATTACTTATGAGATCCAGCTAAAGGTTTTATAATGCAATGAAATTATGTTCACAGAATTATCTTGTTAAAATATCTTTCTAATATAATACTGATTAAGACACAGACTGAAATTTAATAATTGGAAATATTTTAGCATAGTGGTGTCGATTACGTTTTCGTTATGATTCGAATACAAATTCTTCCTTGTAACCTTATGTAATGAACTCTTATCAGAAAATATCCACATTGTTCCATCGTTCTGCAATTATCAAATACTGTTTGTGCTGCAAACAAGGATTGTTATGGTCAGATGAAGCTTTCAGAATGTAAAGAATTGTTGGTTAATTAATTTTATTCATAAAATTGTGATCTAGAAATGTTTGAATCTTGCTTGAGGAGCAGTTCTTCTAGCTTTATTTAGAGCTCTCTGGGGTATAGTATATTAGAGCCGAGGCAGAGATCTTCAACATTTTGAAATGGTCTAGGCTGTGTAGATAAACAGCCAGAATAATTTTAATCTATTTTGTACTGTACCTAAAAGTAATAATGCCAATCTCTACCACCTTATTATTTGCTACTGGAGCATTACTAATTTGGGGTGTCAGAGATGCAGGCTATTCAAGTGTCTTTATCTCAAAAACCTGCTAATTAGCAGACAGTTATTAGAATTATTGTGTTCACTCAGCTGAAACACTGTTGGTGAGTCATTCTATATTTCAGCTATAGGCCTAATCACGAAAGTAAGGTATGGCATTACAATAGGATGACTCTTTCCATAGGGACAAGCAAATGTATAGCTACAAGACCGTGTCAGAACAGAACAAACCAGGAAGATCAAAAAACATGGGGTCTCAAATTTCCCATTATTCTGATATGTGGGTTTCGACTGCATTTAGCTGAAAATATTTTCTCTGCTTTCTTCGGCTAACCATCTTGTTCTCTTAATCCCAGCTCCTTCTAGCCACTGCTCGCATCCTCACCATTCAATTTTCAGTTTTTCTGTCCTTGTTTCAGCACCTTGTCTTCTGTATTTAAGTGTATAGTAGTCTATATGCTTACACTACATTCATCTTTTCTTCAATAAATTTCATTTTGAAGTGCTCTGACTTGTGGCTTTCAGGCTTTCATTCCAGCTGTCAGTAGAAAGGTAGCCAGAAATCCCAGAACACTTTGCACTCTCTTCTTTCCTTTCTCTGTTTTCCAGTTTTAATGAGGCTTATTACTTATGGAGATTCTCCCCTCTTTCTTAGCCTCTCTTCTGTCTGCTTCTCTTTCTTTGATTACTGCTTTACTGTCTTAGAGGTTCTTTCTATTAAAGGTACCTACATCAGTGTTTTAGTTTGTTAGGAGTGAACTTTTTGAGAAAAAATAATGATAACAAAAAAAAAAAAATCTCTCACTTATTGCCACTTACAGTGCTCTGGTTCACAGAGCGCACAAACTGCACTTCTTTCAAATGAACCTAAATGAGAAGGTGCTCCAAGTCTATGTTTAATATATCCCAGATGGTGGGACTAGACTGGAGATAGTTCAGAGTATCCCCTACCCCTCAAATGCATGTATGTTAGATGTTGCATGTGCAGAAGTGAGACAAATTTACACTCTTGTTGGGCCTTACTACTTGTTAACATAAATGCAGCCTGGGGAGTTTCAAGGAGTCTTTGGCACTTTCCCCTTTCTTTGGCAAATCTCTCACCTTTCTCCTCAGGACTTACCACTCTGTGCAGCATGGTCATATGTCTTATGTTTTCGTACTGCAAAGAATGAAAATGCAGGAAATTAATTTATGAAGGGAAAAGAAAGTGATTTTAGAAGCACTTGATATCCAGTGGTAGTAGGAAAAGCTGGCCCCTGCCCAGAGCTTGGGGAATTCTGCCACGTGTGTGGAGTGACTCCAAGTTGGGATAGAGCAGCCTAGTCTATAATGGGAATGGTGGGTCTCTAGGTGGGAGTTGGGCTCCCTTTGCTGACTTTAGGTGGAAGTTTAAAGGAATTAAGCTTATTCACCTCCCTTTCAAGGTTCCTGGATATCCTTCTACACAAACTTATTTAGAAGCCTACCAGAAAGTACCTAGGTACTGCACAGAAATGATAAAGCTTTATGCAAATGTAATGTTCACTACATTTTTAGCATTTAGCATAAGCATAAGTGCCTCTTAAAATCAGTCTAAAATTTTTTGCATGAACTCTTTGGAGAAGGCTGCAGTTCACCAAGGACTGGTGAACCAAGGACTGACAGCCCTGATAGCTTCAGCTAGATCTGTTTGTCTCCAGTTTCCATCATCAGGGCCACAAAACTCAGATATCCTTCCTAGTTCTGAGTAAGATTTATAGTAACAAATTGTCTGAAGTGTGTCCTTGGAAAAGCAATTTATGTAACAACTTGTGCGTAAGTGTACCATCCCTGGTACAGACCTGGTTACCTTGAGAAA